GCACTACTTGCGCGATCATGAGAAAAACACTCTGTAAGTGAAAGGATTTGTAACCTAATGAGGGAGGCCAGTACGACCATCTGATTACGATACACCACGTGAAGTGGTGCAGTAGGGATGCGAAGGGCTCTGAGAGATCAGAAGAGGGAACAATTGATTCCACCTACGGGGGAGAGAAATAATAATAATATATATTATATAATATAACAGTTATAATAATAATAATAGCTTATCTGTATTGAAGGTTTATTCAGTCTCTATACAGCACTGAGCACATTACTAGCATTTTTTCATGTAATCACTTAACAGCCCATTTTACAGATGAGACGATTGGGGTTCAAAGAAGTTAAGTAACATGTAACTGAATCAAGGTTCACTCATGTTTTGAAGAATGAGTAGGATTTGGGCTGAATTTGTAGGTCTGGACCAGAGGGGAAGGGTTTGCTGGGGCCAAGGCCCAGTGTGAGCAAAGGCAGGGGAGGGTCTGTGAGTTTTAGAATTCATGTTCAGGTAAGCATATTACAATTCTGTGTTTCCCCAGTTCTACAACACACCACCTAACCATCTATTGGTAACTTTTCAGGATGAAAAGAAACTGTACTTTAAATGTGTTTTGTTTTGCTCACCACCGGTAAGCTAAGTATCTACAATCCGGGCCTTGCCATTCAGTTTAACACAGTAATTCTCAGACTTCACCATATATCACAGTCATCTGGGGAGCTTCACCTATAAACCACCACTCCCCAGCCCCAGCCCCAGCCCCGGCCCGGCCCCAGCTCCAGTCCCAGCCCTGGCCCCAGCCCCTCTGATTCGGTGGTTTGGGGAGGGGCCTGGGAGTCTAAATTTTAGCATGCGCCTTATTTGATTCTAACGCAAGACCGCACTTTGCAAATCAGTGGTCTCAGGTTCCCTGGACTGACTGTTTTTCTTCTGAGTGATGATCAGCATGACAGCGGCAGACTGCTCCTACTCACCAAGGCCCATGTCATCACAAGTACTGAGAAATTAGACTTTTGGGTTTTCTTCTTAACTAAATAACTTTCATTGAAAGTCAAATCATTTCTTAAGGATCAGCTGGGAGCTTTTTTTTTTTTTTTGAATTTTTAAATTTTTTTCCCCATACAAAAATTTATACATACATTGTTACGTGACTCTAATTGCTCTCCCCATACTGTGACAGCACACTCCTCCTTTCCACCCAATTTCCCATGTCCATTCAGCCAGCTCCTAACCCTCTCTGCCTTCCTACCTCACCTCCACACAGAAGCTGCCTGTTAGTCTCTTGTATCTACTTGAGCTAAGAGGCACAGTCCTCATGAGTATCACTTTATGTCCCACAGTCCAGTCCAATACCTGTCTGAAGAGCTGGCCTCGGAAATTGTTTTAGTTCTGGGCTGATAGAGAATGCAGGGGCTGTGCTTTCCAGGGTTCCTCCAGTCTCAGTCAGACCATTAAGTCTGGTCTTCTTACTAGAATTTGAGTTCTGCATCCTGCTTTTCTCCTGCTTCATCAGGGACTCTCTGTTGTGTTCCCTGTCAGGGCGTTCATTGGTGGTAGCCGGGCACCATCTAGTTCTTCTGGTCTCAGGCTGATGAAGTCTCTGGTTTATGTGGCCCTTTCTGTCTCTTGGGCTACTACTTTCCTTGTGTCTCTGGTATTCTTCATTCTCCTTTACTCCAGGTGATTGGGACCAATTGATACATCTTAGATGGCCGCTTGCAAGCTTTTAAGACCCCAGACACCACTCACCAAAGTAGGATGCGGAACATTTCTTAATATCAGCTGGGAGTTTTTGAGAGAGAGGTATTCGGTGCCCAAGTCCTTCGTAGTATAGTAATTGAGCAGACCAGTCTCTCCCAGCCTTGATAGATCTCTGCTCTCTTCCCAGACACTCGGTGACATCTGTCCCTTTGATTGCATTGCCTGATGTGTGACAAGCAGTCCTTTTACACCTGCTCAGTGACAAAACACGGCTTTATCTGCCCATACTTCTTAAGCCTTACTGAGCTCTCGTTGTTGCTTTTAATCAAGAAAATACGGACAGATGGTCATTCCTCCAGATCTGAGTATTAGTTTCACTTACGGCAAACCTACATCTGGCAGCTCTATTTCCAGAAACTTTTTCTTTCACCGTAGCTTGGGAATGAAACCTTTTTAAAGACATTTAAACTCACTATTAGGAACCAAAATTTAAGTTAAAGTTCAAACACATGTGGTATCTACCAAGGCCAACATCTCAACCCTGGCCTCTGGAGGAAGAGAGACACCGTCTCCGCATGGCTGGCTGCACGTGTGCGGGTGATGGCAGCTGTGTTTCCACATCTCTGCCAGGGGGCTGGCAAGTTTCTTGTGGCGTTAATTGTAAGAGGCAACCAAATTTCAGAAATATTAAAATGTAGGAAAAAAAATCTACCAGTCGTGGTTCTTGGTAGCAAACCAAGGAAACAGATTCTGGCTAACTTAAGCAGAAAAGGAATTTGGGGGGAAGATCAGGTCATTCACAGAATTAATGGGAACGTTGGTGAACTGGGCTCAGAAAGGGGTTAGGAGGCTGCTGCCACTTGATTCTCAACTCAGCCACCACCATCGGGAATCAGCTCTGATTTACTGTGTCTGCATCATCCGCCAGGCTCAGCGTCCCACTGGGTGGATGGGGAGGAGGAGCTGACTGTCTGAGTCTAGCACACCTGCCTGTTCCCCATCCTACTAAGGAGAGGGGCAAGGGACTGCCGGCCACACCTTCAGCTTTTCTTGTCCACAAGGTACCCCCAAACAGCAGGGAAGTTCAGCTAAAAACCACTCATTTCCACCCAGTGCGCACCCCAGACAGCACTTCCTTTAATCCGTTTCTGAACTTTCAGTTACCTGGTTTTGGTCACAAGGGAAACCAAGTGAGGGAGCGGGCAGGTTCTTCTGGTGGGTGGTTCCAAGGCGTCGCCCCTGGCTGCCCCGAGGACAGCGTGCTCATTCATCTGCCAAGGCTCTCCTCCCGTGATCTGGGACTGTCTGGGGCTGGAAGTCAGTTTCGCGTGACAGTAGGACCTAGTGTTACTTTGGGAGGCAGTTTGTTCTGGCCTCACAGGGACAGGACTCAGGGAACTCTTGACTCTAAATCTTTACATAGTATTGCGTGACCCATTCAGTAGGTCTTTGATTTTCCACTGTTGTAAACTGGCTGCTGACAGCTATGAAAATAAACTCCGGCCCCCATTCCGAAAACTTCCTTTGTCCTCCTAGTCCCCGGGGAATCAGGGTGTGCCGCGGCAAGACAAAACACAGAAGTGAAACGTGTGAACTGGAAGTATACACAGAGGCCCGGTGGTGAAAGGGAGTGATTTCCCCTGGGGCGGAGGGGTGGGTACCCAGGGGTCTTCAGCACTTCTGAACGTTTTATTTTCTTTTTAAAAATCTATCTGAGTCCAGTTTCCTTGTTCAACTACTCTTCTGACACCTGTTCTTCAAGTTCATGGAAACGAGTCCACTGAACCCCTTTATTTTTGCCTATTAGATCCTTCTCCTCTAGGCGCGTTCTGATCTGCCTTCGATTCCACACTCTGTCTATCCCGGAGTCAACGTTCTCTGAAACCGATACTAATACTTTCGTATTTTGGCTGTAGTATGTATCCGTAAGGTCCCAGGGTGGCGCAAGTGTTTGCGATCACCTGCAAACGTGAAGGTTGGCAGTTCAAACCTACCCAGTGACACTGCGGAAGAAAGGCCCGGCAATCTGCTTCCGTAAAGATTACAGCCAAGAAAACCCTACGGAGCAGTTCTACTCTGTAGCACATGGGGTTGCCGTGAGTCAGAATCGACTCGACAGCAACAGGTTTGGTTTTTTTGGAGCGTATCCATAGGCTACTGAGTATTGTTTTGAATTTTAACATTTCACGTGAATATTATATTGTACATCTCCTTGTGAAACTGATTTTTCTGGATTTATCTATATTGACAAGTGAAGATCTAGTTCCTTTTCACAGCTGTGTGGTGTTTTATTACGTAAATAAACTCGATTTAACTAAAAAGTATCTGAAGGACACATGGCAAAATGTCAAATTTCGTTCATGTTAGATGCTGGTTAGGTCGGCATGCATATTATTCTCTATACGTTTATGTATGTGTAGAAGGTTTCGTAATTTGAAAAAGGAAGACGAGCACTCAAGTAGACGTCAGGATAGGTGACCCCTCACCTGGGCTCTAGGCTGGGCTACAGTAAGACTCCGATTCCATGGCTAATCAGACGGTGATTCAAAATCAACTTTGTGGGATAGGCCTCCTCTTGTTCACCCTTCATGGGAATCTGCCTCCCTGGGGAAATGCCTGAAAGCCTTGACCGCAGGTTGAGAGGAGTGTTTATCTAACGTCGTGAGTTGGAGAGTGTTGGTACATGGCCAAAGCGAGCTAAACAGAGTCTGTTGTGGGCCTGCCCATTGTAAAAAAGAAATTGGCAAGAAACCATTTCACAGAATAGATGTGAGACATAACTTTTAAAAATATTTATAACATACTTAAGATATAAATAGCCCAAACAATAAATATTGGTCACAGTTTCAGCCAGGCCAACCTTTGACCTCCTTCATGCGAAGAACTGGAGTAGGGAGGAGGCAAGTCCTCTTTTGTGGGGTTTATTGGTCACCCCAAATCCGGATTTTCTTCCCTCTCTGTCTCTGGTGCTTTTAGAAACGAGATTTTGACCTGTGCCCTGTGGTTTTACAGAGCCATTGATCAGAAAGACTGTGAGGACCAACCAAAACTACAGCTATGGAAGTAAACAATGCACCATCCAGGTGACCCTGAGCCCCTCTTTAGTCCCTGCTCTTCCCATGGAAGGGCTCCCAGGATGCCCAGCATTAGCCAGATGGTCCAGCCTGGGGGCCCCATTTGAAACAGGTCTCAGGGCCACCTCCCTGGCAGCTGCCAGAGAATGAGGTGTTTCCCACGTGCTCCTGGTACCCGTGTCCCTCAGCAGTGGAAGCACTTGACGTCCTGCTCTCTCCACCCAGGGTATGACTTCTGCCAGGTCCTGCAGTGGTTTGCAGAGCGGGTCGACAGGATCATCCTGCTCTTCGATGCTCATAAACTAGACATCTCGGACGAGTTCTCAGAAGCCATCAAAGCCTTCCGGGGCCAGGACGACAAGATCCGGGTGGTGCTCAACAAGGCTGACCAGGTGGATACACAGCAGCTGATGCGTGTCTACGGGGCCCTCATGTGGTCCCTGGGCAAGGTCATCAACACGCCCGAGGTGCTGCGTGTCTACATCGGCTCCTTCTGGGCGCAGCCCCTGCAGAACACCGACAACCGCAGGCTCTTCGAGGCCGAGGCCCAGGACCTCTTCAGGGACATCCAGAGCCTCCCGCAGAAAGCAGCCGTGCGCAAACTCAACGACCTCATCAAGCGGGCCCGGCTGGCCAAGGTAAGCAGGAGATGCCCTGGGCGGCAGCCTCGGGCGGGGGTGCTTCCGCTGTCTTCTCTAAAGGGAAAGCTGGGGAGAGGGACTCCCCTCCAGAAGCTTTAAGCAGTGGGACCTGTAACAGGCTAAGAAGATAGCCTCAAGGTCAGGTGGTTGTTGTTGCTTGTTCGATGCCTGTGAGTCGGCCCCCAACTCACCGAGACCCCGTGCACAATAGAACGGAATGCTGCCTGGTCCTGCACCATCTCCATCATCAGTTAGGGATTAGACCGTTGTGATCCACAGTGTTTCCACTGGTTGATTTTTGGAAGTAGATTGCCAGGTCCTTCTTCTTAGTCTGCCTTAGTCTGGGAGTTCCACTGAAACCTGTTCAGCATCATAGCAACACACAAACCTCCGCTGACAAGCGGGTGGTAACTATGCATGAGGTACGTTGGCTGGGAATCAAAACCAGGTCTCCCGCACGGAAGGCGGGAACCCTACCACTGATCCACCAATGCCCCAGCGAGATCAGGTAGCCCTGTTTAAATTCCAGCTGCAAGCTCTATAATCTTAGGCAAACAATTGAATCTTTTCAGACTTGTTTTCTAGCCTATAAAATGGAGCTACAAGAGAACTCCATGGGATGCTGGCGGTCATTCAGTGTGACAGGGTTTGCAGAGCAGCTGGTACGGGGCACACAGGAAGGATCAGTGTGCGTGGCACACAGAAGCTGTTTACTGTGTTAGGAGGATGGCAGGTAGCCAGCTGGCCCTCAGAGAGGTAGCATTGGTGGGGCCAACAGGGACACCAAAATGGTGCCACTAATCACCTGTGCCTGAGATGTAGAGCCTGATGTCGCTGCCTGGCCCCAGAGGAGGCCCGGCTGGAAGACTGGCTCACTGTACCCCTTGTATGTGATGGTTTGGGAGCCGCACCCCTCCCCACTCTGGGTTGTGGCCTGTGACCATGCATGCCGGGCTCCTGGCTCCCCACCTCGTAGCTGAGCCTCATGGGGTGAGTGGTAGTCTACTGACCTCCCTCAGGTGGGAGAGGCAACTGTCGTGTCTCCGAAATGAGAAAAGCACATGACTCCTCCAAGACAAAGTATAGGAAAAAATTGTTCTTTAAAAAGCGTCTGTGTGTTTCATAAAGTCGTTGTGTTCTAACGCTGGAAATGCTCTCCGAGCTTTTCTAGTCCCAGTAAAGTTCAAACCTGCATCAGCTGCTGTGTGATCATCAGAGGTACTGGGAGATTTGTCCAGGGCAGCAGATTCCCAGGCCCTGCCCAAAGCTTCTGATTCATGGGAGAGAGAGTGTGGGTGTGCGTGTGTGTGTGTGTGTGTGTGTGTGTGTGTGTGTGTGTCTGTGGGGGGG